GTGCCCACCCACCCCTCCCAGCTTCGGTCTGGCTGCTTCCTGCATAGTGATTGAGGACACAGAGGGGCGAGAAGACAAAGCGGAGGAAGAAGAAGGGCCACGAAAGCAGAAGGAAAGAGGGTTAGTTCCAGACACCTGGGAGAAGGCCTAAGGGAAGAGAGAGGCGCCTGAACCTCTGTGATCTAATCTGGGGAGGGGCCACCGGCAGGAGGGCCCAGGGCCCAGCACGATCTCAGCCTCAGCCTCGCCATGCCCGTTCCTTGGCTTCCTCTGAAGCTCTGAGGAGAGGGATGGAGGAACTGAATCCAAGGGAAAGAGATTAATCAGTTCTGCGAGAATTCAGCGTGAGGCAGAGGCTCTTTGCTTTGTTTTGTTTTGTTTTGCTTTGGCAGGGAAGCAGCAAATGCAGCCCTCTGCTCATTTCAGACGGCTGCTGTGAGCAGCGGTGGGTCCCCACCGGCCTACTCCCTGAGGATGGTGATGGTGGCTGTGTGTGACCTCCAACAGGAGATGCTGAGGAGTCCGTAAGCGAGGGGGCAGGGGCGGGGGCTTGATTTTCCACGTGAATATATAATTGGAGTGTTGAGTGGCTCTGAACTTTAACACAGCTGCTAATCCACAGCATACACACCACGCTGGTGCCGTTTAGAAACACAGCACGTCTCGTGTTTTTAATATCCAGTTTTATCTTATCTGACCCCTTCATTTCTCAGCCTTGGCGGACAACACCAAGAAACCTTTCCTCTCCTGCCTTAGTAAGGAAACGACTTTGCCTGTGGACTGCCTTGGGAAGGCCGGCTGCCCGTGGGCACGGGGGGCACACACGTGTGGGTACACACCTGGGGAGGGGCTGGTGTTCCCATGGATGCGTGTGGCCACAGGCTTGGGTGAGCCCCTGGATCTCTGTCTACAATGGCCTCAGCCAGAAAGGGAGGCAGGCACGTGGTTGATGTCCCTGAGGACATCCACCTGGTGCTCAAATTGACCTTCATTCTGCTATTCAGTTTTGCTCACTCTTCTCCCACCCCTGGAACCCAACGAAGCCTCTTTCAATGTGACCTCAAATTATCCTTCCCGTTTCCAAGCCTAGGTCCTTCTTGGTGTCTTGTTTGCTCTTGACCTTGGGCTCATATCTGCCTTCCGCTCTCTGGACCCTTGGCTGAAGGAATACCATCTTATTTTAATAAACTTTTTGTATACCTCTCACTCTGAGGTGGGTGTAGTGGGAAAAAAAAGTCCAAACACCACTGAACCAGGAACCAGACTCTGCTGTTAATTAGCTCCTAGGTGTGGGCAAATATCTGTACCTCCCCCAGGCCCCAATTTCCTCCTCCATTAAATGAGGGGATTGCATGAGCTGATTTGCAAGGTCTGCTCTGGCCCCCAGACTCTAAGGCTTTCTTCACAAGAGTTTCTCATTTAGAACTGCCCCGGAAGTGTCCACTTTCTAGCATGGCATTTTAGTTACCATTGTCCCTTGTAGCCAAAGTGCTTTTGTGGACAAGGGAAGTGGATTTTCATATACTTCAAACAGTGCCCAAAACACATGGTGACTGCCCCACTCAGAGGGAGAAAATATCTTGTTGATGTTTTAGTTCAATAACAGTCCAAATGATTAATAACGAAGAGTCATACATAACAACACCTTAGTTCTTACATATCGTCTTTCGCCCAAAGATATCAAAGTGCAATTTAAGAAGATCCATTTTTAATGAAATATTAAGCAGTTTCTATTTCTCCTGACCCAATGGATTTCCAAGGTCTCTATTTTTCCTCCTTGCACTGCCCTATTTATAGCTGGTAAATGCTATCATACATTATACATCTTTATGACTTTTTCAATGCTTCTGTGGTTTCAGAATCACCCTTCATATATTTTCTGATCAAATTCTCTGAGATGGAACCTTGACTTCCAGTCCTGCCATTGCAAGGTAAGGGGTTGTGTGCTTGGGAGATGATGCCAGGGAATTGGTTTTACTCCCTATTCCCTTCCGACTCACTGAATCACTATAGGCCAATCAATAAACCTTAGATACCTTGATTTCTCCTTCAGGAAAATAAAGTCGATAACACGCTTGCAGGTAGACACTAAACTCTACCAGCCCTCCCTGCTGGCTCCAGTGCCTGCACGATACCAAGGACAGATATTGGACTGGAAGCCACGTCACCAGCAATAAATAGGTCTTTGTTCAACTGGGGAAGTTCAAGTTCTGAAAGCCACTGACTCTCAAGTCCCACCTCGAGGCCAGGAATTTTCAGGCCATGACTTTGCAGTGAGGAGTCCATAGTGCTGAGAAAACTCAGCGGCCTGTCAGCGTACGGCGTGCCCAGATAGACGTATATCAAACGTGGTGATCACATTTTAACATCTGCTTTAAAAGCTGGATGTCACACATGGTATACAGTTTTGTTAACTTTAAAAGAGAAATGTTAATATGGTTGCTTTCCTGCCCAAAGGAAAACCAGAGGTGTGTTCAGAGTGACCCTAACCTTCTTAAGAGGTGGGGATAGCGTTGATAATGTTGTAATGACATATATATATATATATATATATATATATATATATATATAT